GTGAGTGCTAGTGGTGCTGATAAGAGCAGATACCACTAACACCTGGGGGGGGAGGCTCCATCTATTGGTGGGGAGCGACACCTGCTGGAAAACGGGTCCACCGTCCCTTACATGGGCAGAATTCGAACCATATCAAATTAGCAAAACAAGGATTTGGAATATTCCTGCCAGCATTGATTACCCAGGGGTATAGAGGATTGACTGAGCAGGATGTTGGGGGGGGGGAGGGGAAGAACCTCTTCACCCTGAACCTGGTGCCAGATACCTGCTGTTATGCCTTAGTTCCTCCCACCCCTTTTTTTTTTTTTATAATTATTATTATTTCAACCCACCCCTTTTTTGCCACAGCATGCATCCCATTATACACTCAACTGCCAGCATTGATTGCCCTGTACCCGCCAGATCACTCTTTCTACCCTGCGCACTGCTTCCTGTTCTTCTGGGTACCAGTCTGTTCTGTAGCTATCCTGTATTGGGCCGATTCAATCGCTCCATACCATTACGCGTGTCCACCATTGCCAGACGGTGAGGCGGGAAGGGGTCGGGGAAAATCTGTTGCAGGTCGCAGCGGGATTTCTTGACCCTCTGTATAGTCCAATCCTTGAAGCAGATCCGGTAGAGGATAGATTTGCAAATTGTGCAACAACATGTACTGTTGTTCTGTTCACGGAAAGGGCTCTTCCAAAATTCGCTAGGGTAGATTTGCAAAAGGCGGTAACATGCACTGTCCTCTCCCTTTGAGGAAATCCGCTCTTCCAAAATTGGCAAGGGTTGATATGTGCAGTTCTGTTTCTTTTGTTGTGCCCAAGGGCAGATTTGCAAATGGCAGCGACATGCAGTGTCATTTCCCTGTCAGGAAATAATGTTTTCTGAGTTGCTCTTTCTTCTTTTTTTTTTTTTTTTTTTTTTTTTTTTTTTTGGTGCATACATTTATTTAATGATGGATAAGTCGCTCTTTTTTGATTTCAATCAGTCTGATGAATCTCCTTTGTGTTTTTCATTTTTCCAGGTTCTGTTCCTTTGCTGTTTTTCGTTTTTCCATCCTCCCGTCTTTTGCGAGTGCGTGCATTGTACGCTGTTTTGTATTCGACAAGCAGGATTTGCAATGGTGACGGCATAGTCACGGGCGTCTGGGGATGATACACCCGACCGACTAAAACTTTTTGGACTGAATCTGAACGCAATTGCAATCCGAATTCATCCAGGGTAGGCCATAAGTGCATTCAGAGTCGTTTGGGAGAAGTTCTAATGTCTGTTTGCTGAACTTTGCGCTCTCACGGAATGTTGATATGGGTGCGCTTCCACAGGTTGATTCCAGTTGGCACCGGAATGTTGATATGGGTGCGCTTCCACAGGTTGATTCCAGTTGGCACCGCTATAATCATGGTTGCTGCGGTGAAATAAGCTCGGGAAGTTACTTTTTTATTTCCTTGGGCAGTTTCTTTCAATAAAATAGGATGGTTTGGATTTTGGTCAAACAATCCTCTTTTTTTGCAGTATTGCTTCCATGATATTAGGAGCATTAGCCGCAATGGCTCAAAACAAAGTCAAAAAACTTTTAGCTTATGGTTCTATTGGCCATGTAGGTTACCAAGCTCCAGTCTCCCACTTCGTGGCCGCAAGTCCATTAGTATGTGTTCGTTGGGCCTTATGGCGACACGATAACAACCATAAGACAGATAGATTTGTTATTAAAACTGCATTATACAACAGCCTGGCGGCTGCCTCGATTATGTAAAATCATAGTAGTTCCTTTCGGTTTCGGAAAAAATGGAATGGTAGCGGCTTCGCTCCTTTTGCGGTGGTGCAATCGCAGTTGTTCGAACCTTCATAAATTAAAAAAAAAACAAAAACAAAAAACACCATGCTTTTCTATGGTCAGTCCGAGACTTGTTGTTCATTAAAAGTTTTTAAAAATTAAAACTACAAAAAAGAGTCTTTTTATTTTTTATTTTTTATTTGAACCCTCTCTTTGTCGGTATGCCGCATGAGGTGGCACACGCCAGCTGGTGTAAAACTGAGATGCAAAGCCCATTTGTATCAAACTGGATTCCTGGGCACGTTCAGCAGGGAAGTCCTACCTCAGGTTTTTACTCCATGATTATAGATGGCAATCAGCCGGGGCGCCGCGCCGGGGTTGCCTTGTTGCCCGGGCTGCCTGGCCGTGCAGTAGCCCTGAAGGACCAAAAAAAAAAAAGAAAAAAAAGAAAAGAACGAAAAATTGTTCTGGAGGACCTGAACAACTCTTACCGCCGGCCCACACCGAAATTGTTTACCAAATTAAAAATAATAATGAAATAATAATATAGAGAACATTTATTTTTACCTGCGCTGCCATTTGTCCGATGGGCGGACGTCGTGGGTGGGAGTTGCCCGGGATCCCAGACGACTCGTTTCTCCAAAATTAAAATTGAAGAAAGGAAAAATGGAAGCATCCCCCGTTACATAAGGTGATCCCGTAAAAAACATTTTCAGCTCATTTATAGCAAAAAAATATGTAATGCAAAACATGGGGAAAGGGGGGTGGCGGCCATGATTGAAATCGACCACAATAAGATACCTGTTTGGTTGAAATTGACAAAAAGTATCTTTTACGATTTTTTATCCTTTTTTTTTTGTGTTCAAATGACCTAAATTGGTTTTGGCATATACCTCATGTGAGGGGGAGCTCACATACAATTTTTCATTTTCTTTTTCTGTTTCCTTTTTTTTTTCATGTTTTTTTGTTTTTGTTTCTTTCTTTGTTTTTTTGCTGGGATCGGGCATACTGTCCCGGGCAGACGTCTTCCCGGTTGTTCGATCGGACAAGTCGGACATCCAGGGGTTAGCCGGATGTCCGCCCTTGTAACATTGTTTTTAATGTCAATAGTATTTTTTTAAACCTTTGTGGGCCGGATGGGCAAGGCGTCCTCCGTCACTGTTCACTGTTGTTGTAACTTAGCCGCACAATCATTATCGCTGTCTGGATCTAGACTGAAAAATGTTTATATTAATTTCTTTTAGTTTTTTTTTTGGCCCGGATGGGCAAGGCATCCTGCATCATTCTGGTAACTTGTATCTAGACTGAAACTTGCACCAAGTACGGTTGTAATGATCGTCTGTTTTAGTCGTGCAGCTCTTCTTTTCTTCTGCTTTGTTTTTTTTCATGGTCTGGATGTCAAAATACTTTGCCAATACTTTGCCTTTTTATCGAGAAAATACTTTGCCTTTTCCGCTCATTTCGGCAACCAAGATTAGGGCCTCGTACTTGATTGACAAATGCGCATGACACGTAACAACAAGTACTAACAACCAAATATAGACGACATGCAACAATGGTGGAGAGGAGATGAAGGTGCAGCGAGCATAGCGCCTTCATAGAAGAATCACGGAGACGGCGACATGAAAGAATTACGGAGATGACGTGAAAGAATCACGGAGACGGCGACATGAAAGAATTACGGAGATGACATGAAAGAATTGTTAGTTCGACAGCGCATGAAGCCTGAAATCTAAAAATGTGACGGTCGCTTGAGATGGAATAGCATCCGTTAAAAGGATTGGAACGATACGGAGAAAGGAGATTAGCATGGCCCCTGCGCCTTCAAGGATGACACGTGAATCGAGAAATGGTTCAAATGGGAAAAAAAAAAAGAAGGAAAATCCGAAGTCTAGTCGGCGGGCCGTTGTAGTGGAACACGAGCATCAAAGTCACCTACAGCAAGTGAAGTCTGACACCGAACTTTGCACTACCGTCTTCCCCCGAGCACAACGCATCGCACCCTTATTTTTGCTGTATCTGGCCGGAAATATAGCTTGTATACATTCATTTTCAGGGTGCGGAGCATGGGCCTTACCTTCAAGCGGCAACACAACACCCTCAGGCTGTTATCTATCTGGTGCTCATAAACGTCAGGATACATTCAAAAGAAATTAAAGACACCCTCAATTTTGTTTTCTTTGCTTCGTGCTTTAAACTGCTGAAAATGCCGGCCCGCCCGGGTCACCCATTTATTCCCGGGTGGCGCGGCCGTGCGAGGACCAGGGCAAGGTCCCAGCAAAAAAAAAGAAAAACTCCAAAAAATCCGAAAAAACACCTATGTTATCCAGAAAAATAACCTGAAATTTCTTTTGCATCAGCGTCGCATCGAAATATATATATCGTCAAATAGAGACCCAGCGGCGTGTCTGGAGTGTATTTTTTGGCTGTGACAGACCTTTCTTTGTTTCGTGGATGTTTTGCTTGGT